GAGAGTAGCTTAGCATTTTACTAGGATTGGAACCTGAAAGCCCTTATCACATAACTGAAAGATGTAAGAGATAGTTCCTTCGTTTAACCCTGAATATGATGTCCTTTTAAGTTTAAGTCAACAATAATTTAGAGGTCTACAACTTTCTAAAGTGTCAAAATCTATGGATAAAATGTGGCTGGGCGATCAAATGATCAGGACCTTTGATTATTCAATTATGTGGGGATAAATATTAATGTTGTATTCTAGAATAGAATCCTTGTATATATTTCCGCAATCTTAAATAATTGAGATGGAATAAGTTACTTTTATATAGACCCAAAGAGAATATGTATCAAATATCTGATATTTACAGAAATCAACTTATATTCAACTTTTGGATAAATCAATAATAGAAAGCGTATAATTAGGTTCTTCTGAAGAATTAATTATTTTTTATTTGATATCCATTTATTCAAACATTTTAACCTGACTACTCACTAATTTTATTTTTTCAATCTTAGGATGTCATTTTATTATATTATCTATGATTTTAACGAAATTTTGAGCAAAATTTAACCATTAGAAATATTTAAAAAATTTATTCATATCATTTAATATTATAATATGATTAAAATATTATTATAACTCTAAGTAATCAATATAAAATAGATGAACATTCTGATATTTGTTACATAATCTTTTTCATATGTATTAATTCCAGTTTATACTTACCTATGTTTCCAGATCTTTGAACCTTTAATAATCATATTTATTAGGATTATATTACAAGGATTATTATAAGTGATATTCTTTTCTTTTTATCAAATACCCCATTAATTTTATATCATCCTAAGCTTTTTATGATTGTATTCACTCATCTTCCCATTTTATTTTTATAAGAATGAATTCTTTAAATAAGCATTGAATAATTAAAAGCTCAAATAATTCTTGGTGCTCTTAAAGTGAAGTTTCAACTTTTTTATGGAATTAATAAATATACAAATAAAATATATTTACTGAGGTTTAGCAAAATTCATTTCTAACATCTTGTGAAAGTTATTTGTGCTTTGACGTTATCCTTATTCACTTAAATGAAGATACCATAAATAAACATTTGAATATTAGTAACAAGAATAGTAGGAAGTAAGCAATAATTTAAACTTTACTGGATGAAAAGTCAGAGAGACAAGGATGAGAATTTGGAAAGATAATATTGATTAGAAAACCTCTTAAAATAGATCAGAATACAATTCTTAGAAATATTATGATTTTATACTTCAGTCAAAATCCTTTAAATCATATTCGGGATATTTAAAAACATAAAGGAAATTAATATCTTAATCTAATCAAAATTATGAAAAGATATAAAATAAACTTAAGGAAGAAAATTAAGAATAGAGTATAAGTATTTTTCTATTCATGAAATAGTTCAAGATATCACTGAAATTAGGAAGGTAATGGATAATTCTAGAAATAAATATTTTCCATTCTAAGTCCGAAAAGTAAAATGACCTAAAGAAATTATAACTTCTAGGTACATAAATCTTATTAGATAGAAGTGATAATCTATATTCTTAAGAGTGGATAAAAATTCTTTCAATCTAACTTATGAAGCATTAATTTGAATTATCCTCTTAGTATAAATCAACTTAAGAGTTTAGTTAATTAAAAATTACTGAAATGATAAATTTTATCCTGAAAATTGATATGATACTTTTTTAAACTATTTTTGTGCAAACGAAAAAAAATAAAACTAACACAAAATTTTTAGAAAACGTTATTAATATTGTTATTGAGAATAATTGTATGAGTTTAAAACAAAGTAATTAAAATAAAAGAAAAAATTTAAGTTCTCCCAAATCTTTTTGGTCTTCTATTGGCCACAGAGCCATCAAGCATTGGTAGCTCTATAAGGAAGGATATGAATAGTTTTCCCATGTCCATGGCTTCTTTCAGAGACAAATCTTGCAGGAGGGCGATTCAAGGATGTCAATTCGTAGGTAATACCTCAGAATCAGCTTAGGGACTGCCAACCTTCCTCGCTCATATTTAAAATGGGATAAACTTTCTGCATGTTGTAACTATCCTACTTACGGCAAATGAAGGACTGAGTAACAAAAAATATACTATTAAAAATCAAATTATTATTATTATTATTATTACAAAGTCATGTTATATATAGTTAAGAGACTGTAAAAATTAATCTAAAACTTTAGATCAGTAAACCTATATTTATTGAACTAAGTTGTAGATTCATCTTAGAAATTAAAACTCATGAATATATTGATTGATATCTCAAATATAAATATTAACTTTTGAAATTAATATATTATAAATTAAAAAAATCCTAATTTTGATTCATTATGGTATATTATTAGAAAGTTAGACTGACTGGTTAGTCTAGATGAAAAACTATCTTTCAAACGTGCGGGAAGATGTGCGATATAAGTTTAAGAATTATTCCAGAATTTGAAGTCAATCTTGGTACAAATCTATCAGTACTTATGAAGCTTTTGGAAATTTGCAAGGCTGCAACTATGAAATGGTCTTAAGTATCCAAAATATCTCACCATTATGTTTTATTCACTAGGGAGCCTGATCTTTTGTTAAAAAATTACCTATGTATGTTCTAGTTATTGATATTCAACATTATTATGTTCCAGAGAATGATGATTTAACTTTTAACTTTTTATACAAAAAGATTGAAATAAGACAATAAGCAAAGATGAGTTTATTTCATTTAGCTATGACAATAGATGTCTACTTACAAAATATTAAGTACCCCATTGATAATGAATAGAAAAATCAAAATTCCTAATTCTCTTTATGTTTCCTATTATAAAGTTGTTCTCAATCATGTACACTTGTATACTCTTTTTTTAATGGAATATATGTCTAATTTTTTATTGGTCTTGATGGTATTCGAGATGGTAAGGATAAGACTTAATTTGCAAGGATATTTATAGAAACATAATGGCATAGTAATTCGCATAAACTCTATTATATATAATAGTATGCATTTATTTTTAGAAGCATTCCTTTTATTGAATAGCTAATAGACTGCTTTGATTCATTTATTTTATTAACACTTTAAAGGAAGCTCAACTACTTCTAATAAGTAAACTCTAATTCTTGAAGCAACTTATAGGTTATTCTGAATTAAGGCCACCTGATATTTGATAAGTAATGATATTAGTCCATCTATCTATCTTCTAATTTTTAATTCTTCTTTATAAAATTCAGTTTTAATCCTTAAAACACACACCATATCAATAAAATATTTGCTGCTTTTGATAAGGTCTAATTTACTTACTCATCTTTGTCCAGTATATATGGTTGACTCAAAATCAGAATTGTATATAAAGGGATTCTCTTATTAAATTTATTAATGAATAATAGGTATTATTTCATTCCCTTAATCATTACCAATCTCTTAAATATATTTGATGTCTTTAAATTTGTGTAGGACTGCATTTCTATTAGAAATAAAATTCAAAGAATTGGTAATGTTTTAATTTCTATGAATTAAGTTCAAATATTGAAATATTATATTTGTTTAGTTTCTAAGACTTCTTTAGTGATTTAGTCGACTTTTGATTGAAAATTCTTAATAAATTTCACTGCCTTTTTCATATTTTAGAAATTTTTCAAATCCTTAGTCAGAAAATCGTTTGTTTAAAGAGAGGTTTCATACCTTTGTAATTTAAATATGATAGTTTCCTTTTGTTTAAGTACTGTTTATATTGTAAATTCTTTAAAGACTTAGAAAAAATTAGAGAATGAGAGTGGGTAACTATTAAAAAAGACAAGCTTAACAAGAGAAGGATGATTCTATTTTATATCACCTGGACTATAAAGACACCTGCTTAGTTCTGATATCTGTATGTAATTGAATACTACCATCCAGCAAGTACTTTATCTTTCTAATATTAGGATGTAAAGTTATACATGGAATAACAAATAGATAAATTCAAAAGGAGAAATAAAAGTTAAAATAGGAGAGTGATAAATTATTGTTTGAAACTTTGATAAATGAATTAAGGAATGAGGTTTTGAAAGAAAATTTGATGGATTTGAAAAAATCTAATAATTAGACTAAGGGTAATACAGATGATTAAATGAAACTAACTTGTCTATTCTATATATATTACTAGGGAATTTTCATACTTAAAAGATTTTTGATGAGTAATACTATAAGATTTAGGCCTTATGAGACGTAAAACCCGAGAGTACTTAAGTGAGAAAATACAATCATATAAAGAGGCTAAATAATAAATGTGTTTTGTAGGTGTGAAATTTTGGTAGGGTTATATTAGCGAAGGTTTAGATTAGATAGTGTCTCTGTTATGGGGATCTTTAGAGCTAGATTCTTATTGTCTGAAAGTTCTTCCTTCTTTGCATGATAGCTTCCCTAAAGTTAAGGATTATTTTAAAACTATGGATTTTGTTTATGATGGCTTCTAATTATTGGGGTGTTGCCTATAGTGTTATTATTTCTAAAGTAAACCATCAGTAACACTATATGAAGAAACTTTGCATTTCTTAATGAATCGGTTCGTGAAATGTTTCGATAGGATATTATATGAGAAAAATGAATTTGATATATCATTACAAATTTAATTTAATTCTTTAAAGTTAACCAGCTTTTGAAGAATCAAATGATATAAAAACCATATTATTAGATTGTAAGTCATATGAAGATCTTAACAAATATCATAATTTAACTTTCATATATAGAATAATAATTAATAATTTTAGCAAAATTTTCTAAGCTTTGTTAACAATTAATTTTCCTATAATTTGTCAACATAAAATTTTTTATTTTACTTTATTAAAAATTCTCACATATTGTGATCTATTTTATTTGGATGACTATATATTCAATTACATGTTAAATAACTCTTTTAAATATTTTATAATTTTGCATCCTATGAGTTATTAATTTTATATTAGCTTAGCAAACCTTGTTTTAATAAATATCTCTCTGGTAGAATATATAAAATAGAGAATTAGTCTTTTTTGTATTGTTACCCATTAAGTTTCTCAATCTTTTTCTATCTTGCTAATGATAATAATTAGATTAATTTTCTACATATTTTTCATCTTAATTCCACACTCATTATTACCATATGATCGATATATGCTCTCTATTAATTCGATTATTATGTTGCTTATTTTTTAAATACATTTCCATATATCATGTAATATCCATAATCATTTATTCTCATGTTTCTCTTAATATTAATACTATTTTGAAATTTTTCCTTATTGCTTTCTGACAAATAGAGTTGTCTCTAACATTTTTCCATTTAAAGCATATTCCCCACAAATATACTTTATTACTTTTATTATTTCTGATAGATTTCTATTATATTGTCCTACAAAAATTTGGATGAGATCACCCATAGTAATAGTTCAATTCCTTCATCTTAATTCAGATTATTATACAGATGATATAAAAAGATCTTCATTATTATTCAAAATTATGCATCTAATATATCCACTATGACATTTAATATTTTATGAACAAATCCATGAATTATCATTATTATATGTCCAAATCAAAATAGATCCATGATCTCCAGAAATCAATTAATTTGATTATTTCATAAAATTTAAAGTGGTCACATCGCTTTAATGTTAATTTAAAACTTGATTTTATTTTATCATTCCTTATTTGAAGTCATATATTTAAATTAGTTTATTACAAACAGCCGCTACAAATGAACAATCTTTATTAATAGCAACTGCATAACAATATTCTTATTATTTAATAGAACTAGCTTAAATTATCTCATAACTAAATGGTTTAAGATTGACTTATGATTGAGATTTCTATTCATTTTGCTATTAGAATAATAATAATTATTATTATGAATTTATTAATAGTTACTAATTTTTTTGTTACTGTTATGATTATATTTAAACTTGATCTTTGATATTATAATTGATTAATGATTTTACTTCTTAAACAATATCTGATATATATTCTTATTAATCAATAAAATGGAATTAATCAAATTTTGATAACTATATTTTTGATTTTGGATGATTAATCTAAGAAACTGGAGAATCTATTATGAATACCTAATCTATGAAATTCATGATCTTATAAAATGATGACTAAAATATTATAATAATAAGTTAATACATCTAAATACTTTTCTATTTCTTCTATGTCTTATTCTAATTTTCTACCTACTACTTAATCTTATGACATTCTTTCTAATTCTATTTAATTTTGTAAAATAAATATTTTTTTTATTAAATCTAAAAAATTACTTAAATATGTTAAATTATATATAAGTTAAGAGAATAAATTACATAGCACTATAAAATAGTAGAAATAATTTATTGTTGGTGTTTTTTTTGATCTATTTTACATGATAATTTAACTCCAAAGTGAACTAATCAAAGAATAAAGAAGAAATTACTTGTGTAGAGAAAAACAATATAAAGGAAATGAGATTACTTAATTTATTGAGAAAAGAATTGATGAATTAAAATACAACCGACAAAATAAAGTAAAAATGATAAGGTTTATTCCTAAAAATAACCAAAGTTTAGAAAACCAAGCATATTAAATGAGATATTTTTGAAAAAACTTTCATACCAACGAAGCTAATCTAATAGGTGAATAAAAGAAAGATTATAATTCAAAACTAAGTAAATATAGTTTAGGGTAAATTAAATTGATATTTTGCTTTAAAGATAGTAATTCTGATTCAAAGCATGAGCTTTCCTAAATTTTGGCAATATTCTTAGATTTTATAATTGTAAAATCATTTATAATTGAATTATCAATATTTTTTATTGATTCAAAGATACCCCTTGAATTATTATTTAACTAAAACTAAACACCATCATTTTACTACCTATGAGTGATGATTTTAGTTTAAGATGTTTATAAAAATTAATGCATATTAATAAAAATAATTATTGATACACACTTGTTATTCTTTTAGAAAATGAAAAGCATTTTAAATAAAATTTTCTTCAAATACAAGTTTATTTAATTCTAAAATAATCTATCAACAATTTTAAATGATAGTTATTAACATAATTTTATTTTAATTAATTGATTTTCAAATACAAAGATAAAAAATAATTGTCTCTGTATTTGATAATTAATTAAAAAAAAATATTTTGATTATAGTTTTATTATATACAATTAGGACATAGAATGGAACCATCCTATTCTTTTAATATTACAGAGTAAATACTAAAAGAAATAGATGAAATGATTAAAACTACAGCAATTCCTTGAAAATTTTGAATCATGATTAGCCCTCAGTCCAAATCTTATCCACGATGCATCAAATTATCTTGGAGCTATTCAACCACAATCTGTTTTATATATAAAATTTATGAAGTCATATAATTAATAATAATAGGATAGTTATTTTATAAGAGTGAATGACGAATATTTTACAAAATCTAAATGGTGAATGTTCTTTCAATTCTTCAAATTAATAATATAGAAAATAATAATAATCTTATATGAGAATGTCAAAATTAGGAGTCCACATATGATGATTCAATTCAATTTCGAAAGAAGGTCTCAATGATTTTGTCATCAATCATAACAATTTTGCATAAAAGACTAGTTCAATTATGCGTTATTAAATTATTTTTTTTTTATATAATATAATGACTTATTCTCAATAGCATATTCTCCATACAACAATTCATTCCTTTAAATACAATAAATTTACAAACATAGACATTTCAATTTGAGTCACTTTACAAACCCAAGATAATCCTAAAAAACGACAAATTCGTGTTTAGCAAAAAGATTAAAGGACCAATATCAATCATGCTAGGAGTATTTCTTTTAAGCAAAATGATATCGATAAACGAATCCCCATTAAGGAAAATATTTAATCTTTTAGGCAAATTTAGTAAAAGTCCAATTTAAAAATGATTTGGCATTTAATTATTAATCTATTGTATTTTAATGTAAGAAGTAAGTCTTTATCAAATCCAATAACTTGATATATTTTAACCTGTCCGAAAATTCTCGAATGAAAAACAAAATATCTTAAACCCCTTATTATAGTTTCAAATTTGGCAGGATTAATTCTATAAATTTAAGTATCAAATAGATAGCAGGTATTCGAAAACTTGATTTTATCTCATTAATGACTTATATTAAGGTGAACTACTTTTACATGAGAATAAAGAGTTGAAACAATTTGGATTAGATTCTGCTGACTAGTACACTTGGCTTCAAAGTTATGAGTCTAATTTATAAAAAATGAATTCAAAGGATCATAAATTAGTTATAATTCTTTTATTTCTATCCTAAAACGAATAGATCTGAACTTATTTAATTGAGGTTTTAAAGAGATTGAAGGTTTCACATTATAATAAAATACATGATCAATTTCAAAGAATTTAAGTAACTCATTCAATAAATTATATTTATTGTCTAAAAATTGGTGCGGAAGGAAGGGAATTCTTGAGAATGTCATAGTGGAATAGATTATGATGTGAACATTATGTTTGAATTTTTAAAGGAATTTTCTGATATTTAAAAGACTTCCTCACTAATTTTTTGAGATTTTAACCTTTAGAGACTTAGATACTAAAAATTAAAATATCTAACAATCAATATATTTTGAAACGGTCAAATTGAGGTTAAATGAGATTTTGTAACAAATTTCATCTTACATACAATGAAATCTCATATATAAAGTTAATCAATATTACTTGTCTAATCCTGATGATACCAATAATGTAAGATCAAAAATATTCATTTTGGAAATTGCTATAGTTATTTAAAAAATTAAAATATTTATTTTAGATAGTTACTTGAAATAACCAAAAGTATGCTAATGGGTGCATTACTTATTTAAAAATGAAAAACCAGTATTCTACAAAATATTATATTTTCTTAAACATTTTTTTAAGAGGGACATTATTATTATTTCAGGTATTCACCCAAAATTGTACTGTTTAGAGAAAAAAATTTAATATTTTATTAATAAAATCTAACTTAATACATAAATATATGAATAATTTAGTATACCATTACAATTAACTTTTTTAAGACATCACCTAGTAAGATGAATGCTAAATCTTAGAATAATTATTCTATGAAATTTTGAATAAATATAAATTAGTAATATAGAAAAACCATATTATAAAATAAATACAGCAATTTTCTTTAATTACATAATCGTATTTAAAAAAATAAGCCTGCTTTAAATAAATTTTAAGTTCTTCTAAAATTATTTATTAAATTTAATATTATTAAATGTCATATCAAATATACTAAATAAATTAAATAAGGTCTATCTTTCAAGATGACTTGTTTTTTTATAGACCCATTTTTTTCAATATTTGCCAAACCTTAGAGTTAATAACAATTTGTAGCATCTTATATGGCAAAAATAAAATTGATCCTATAAACAAGAAAACACTTACTATATAAATTTCCAAATTTATTTTAGTAGGTGAATGGCGATGTAAGTAAATCAGTCTATTGGTTTAGTGTAATATTCTATTCATAATTAGTTAAAACAATAGCTTTTTTTAAGTTTGTAATCTAAGATCTTAAGTGAATATTTGGAGTATCATTTGAGCAAAAGGTCATAATATATCTTGTTACTAAACAATTCATATATCGATGATAACTTAATTAAGTTTAAATGGTTATCAATCATTTTCTACTTATCATCATGAAAATATATATGAAAGATTATGCAAATTATTTAAAAAAAAATTTTTCTTCATTGTCACAATAATCCACTTTGATTAGGTTATTAAAATTATTCTTTACTAAGACTACCCTTAATTATATATAAATTTATAAATGAATTTATATTATCCTTATTACATTAATCTGAGTAATAAAATGAATATTTTTTTAGATTGCCATTAAGATAATAAAATATTTAATGAATCAACAAGTAAATTAAATAGTATAATTATTATGTGAGGGAGTTTATAGAATAACTATAGGGAAAGGATTAGGATTCTTTCAATCGAGCTTAGGTTTATGGATAAACATTTTGGGGCTCTAATTAAGAAAAATTACATTTTAAATTATATTTATTCAATAAAAGAATATGAAATATTGGATGGATGGACAAATTTTAAATTTTAATATCAAAAAAAATAGAGATAAAGTGTTAAATAATTCAGAATAGATAAATGGTTGGGATGAAACTAATTAAATTACAAGAGAGTTGCTTAATTGAGTGCAGATTGGAAGGAATATTAATAATTAGAAAATGGTGGACATTACTCTGAGGATCGTTAAAGCAAGCTTTTTGGAAAAATTGTATACTAATTCCTCGGAAAATGCACTGATAATAATATATAGTGAAAATTAAGTCTATGAATGTGGACAATAGATAATATATCTATAATTAAAGAAATAAGTCATGTGAGTATATATATGTTAATAAAATAATGTGTGCATTTTAATGATGTAATGAGAAGTGAAGGAAGATACTATATGTAACGATCGAAAATAGGGTTGTACTAGATAATGAATTTTAGAAGTATTGTAGTTATTTAAAATTCATTTATCGCCAAAGTCAAGTAACTTATTGTGGAAATATATGAATAATTATAGGGAAAACTTAATATCAATTTATATGTAAGGTATATTGATCTTTATCTAATATTGAAGCCAATGCTAAAGCTTAAGTAAAATAAATTATCAGAAAAAAATATCTTTTGAAATCCATATTCATATAATTAGAATAAGATATTCTAGAAATTAAAAAAGAAAATGCTTTTTTTTCTATCGAATTCTGCTATTTATGCAGAATTAAATGACTTAGATTATTTTGTTATGTCTCATGAAATTATTTAGAAACAATCTATCATTTAGATTTGAATGATAATTTAATTATTTAAATAAGATTTGAGGTTATTTTTGAATAGATTAAAAGAGGTAATAAATACTTATCATATTGATGTTTAATTTGAACATCATTATTTATTTTGCTTTATAAATGAAACTCATGAATCTGATTTCTCATAAATTCGGCATATAAAACTTTAGGAAGTGCTAAGTTATTATATAGAAGGATCCTATTTCAAACCCAATTTAAGGTTAATTGATACTACTTAATTTGGAGACACAAAAGGATAAAATTAGATTAATTTATTTTAAACATTAGACAATTATTTCTTTATATCAATGAATTATATAAACTTACATTATAAGCATCTACGACAGATTTTCAACAAGAATGTTTATACTTCTTAATAAAAGCGGAAGAAGAATAATAAAATGAGAGTTGTTAAATGCAGCATTTTGGATTTGAAGGATATTAAAGATAATTGGTCTTGCTAATATATAAATTAACTATTAATTTAAGTATGAGAGTTATAATAATAAATTTTACATTTTTAAGACTATATCATTTGTAATTATTAATTTAAATTATTATATTAATTATTTGGATAAAATAAAATAATACCCAGAAATATATGGAATTAAGTCTCACCTTTTTAGTAGTAGATTACATTAGGGATCTTAAGAGGACCATAGTTTAGAGAGTTATTATTGTTATAGACTTAATTCTTTTTAATCAATATAATTCTCTATATCGATTTATTCAAAGAAACTATAGATAGATAAATATAATAAATAAATGAAGAAATTATAAGAAATAGAATTAATTTTTAATGTTTTACCTGAACTTCTTGCTCTCAGTTAAAGAATTTAAACCATCCAGATTTAAAAGAGATAATAGTTTTTGCAAGTATTGAAAATTGGAATCAGATAATACTTAGATAGACATTATATGAAAATAAATTTACTACTAAAATAGTAAGATAAATCAATGTTTTAAATAAATCTAAACCTTTTAAAATAAGTTTAGATAAAATAACTTAAGTTTTATACAAGAATAATAGGAAAAGAATGATAGTTAAGTAAACTCATTTCTAAATTATACTATTTTATATTGATGATATATCTTTAAATATTCATTTATTATTTTTTATTTCCTAAATTCTTCTTTTAAATTCATCCTCATCAGTTTTACAATATTTTATTGCTAACTCATAATTTGCTATAGCTAATTGGTTTTTTTTCAATATTGTTAAAGAATAACCTATTACAATAAAAACAATAAAAACCCTTATTAAAATACGCTTTTGCATAATTCGGATCTATCTAGATTGCTTTATCGTAGCAACTTATTGCATCTTCATATTTCTTAAGATCATCTAAAGAATAACCTATTACAATAAAAACAATAAAACCCTTATTATTATAGGCTTATGCATAATTCGGATCTATCTAGATTGCTTTATCGTAGCAACTTATTGCATCTTCATATTTATTAAGATTACGTAAAGAAACACCTATTACAATAAAAACAATAAAAACCCTTATTAATATACGCTTATGCATAATTCGGATCTATCTAGATTGCTTTATCGTAGCAACTTATTGCATCTTCATATTTATTAAGATTACGTAAAGAATTACCTATTAAAATAAAAACAATAAAAACCCTTATTATTATAGGCTTATGCATAATTCGGATCTATCTAGATTGCTTTATCGTAGCAACTTATTGCATCTTCATATTTATTAAGATTACTTAAAGAAACACCTATTACGATAAAAATAATGCCAATACCTTTAATGAAATAACATATACTATAGTTTGGATTGCTTTTAAGAGCTTTTTCAATACATGAAATAGCCTATTCATATTCTTTCTAGTTAATTAAATATAACCCTACTTTGACAATAAATAAATACCTTTTCTATATAAAGCATGAAGATTTTAGGGATCCCCCTTCAAAACCTTGTCACATTATTCAATTGCTAAATGAAATTTGTTATCATCATTTAAAGCATAACCTATTGAATATATTTGATTTAATTAACTTTTTAAAATTAAAATAAAAGGGTTTTATGGATTTTTCTTAAGTTCTTAATCCGAATATTCCAATAAATCTTTATACAAACTACTATTAATCTTTTTCGCCTAATCTCTCATAATCATTCCTTTTCCTGGTTAATTTATTTCTATTAAAGAAATACCTAAATTATTTCATTAATAAGTACTTTAAAAGAGTGTTGCAAATGATAATTATTTTTCCAAGTCTTTTATATTTTTAATTAGTAGTTCATTAGCCTACTACCATTTCTACTAATTAAGTAATAATAATCCTAATTGAAATAATAAAACAAATACCTTATTAGAGTATGCTCTAATCATCTATACCTTGAGTTTATTATTATGCTTTATCTAAATTCCAAGCTTCAATCATTTTTTTTATATTAAGTAATTGTGTTCCTAAGAATATTACTATTATAAAAATACCAATTTAATTCTACTTCCTAATCTCCTCTTAATTATTACAATACTGATATCCCTCCTTAATTAATTATAAATTTTCTTTCATTTAGTTATAATCCTATTAACTTAAACATTGAGATATCTTAAATAATTATAGTTTCATTTTCTCTAATTATTTTTAAAATTCTTCATATTTCTATTTGACTTATGAAAAGGATTTATCCAATTAAGTTATTAAATCAAGTATATTTTAATTGAATTTCGTGATAAAACTTGAAATAAAACCAAATCCTTTTAAGTCCTTCTTACAATTAGAATGTTTCATAGGGTCGACACCACATTATAGACAGAATTAAGGTCTTGAATCTTAACATCCCAAATTTAAACAAAATCCTTAAATATCTTCTCCTTCGTGTTCAATATCTTAACACGTAAACAATTTCTATTATTTCATTAAATAAATTATATTTAATAATTATGTTTTAAATTTCATTAAATATTTATTTAATATTATTATCATTTAATTTAGAATTCTAAAATTATTAAATTCATCGTTGTGTTTATTCCTAATAGAATGTGACTATCAATAAGAATAGTTCTAATCATGTGAATATACATTTTTCCAATATTATTATTTTTAGTGTTTATTAAAAATTGAATCCTAAAGCACAAGGAAAATTTTTCATTAAATTAGATTTTTCCCAATCTCAGAGAAAAATTAAAGTTCAAATATTAACGAGCATTTATTTAAGATTTTTCGATAAGAAATTAAATTAATTTAAATGTACTCTGTATAGTAGTTAATCTATTAAAAGTTAATTGATGTCAATATTCGAGCAATTTATAATGTATATCATTCTATTTTTATATGAAAGTTAGATAAAATAAATAACTAATACTTGCTTTCTTTGTATCAAATAACAGATCTTCTCATACATAGAAGTAATGATCATACCATTCATTTTTTAAAATAAGAATATCACTAATGGGTATATCAATAATTTGGAATTGCCAA